GTCTTTTATTTTAGCTATTCTATCCTCTCCAGGTATGACCCACACACTCCTGACCAGAGGGAGGTGATCTCTCTCCTGCTGGATGCCCAACACTGAGGTCTGTTCACAGTTAAGCCAGGAGGGTGGAACAGGAAATAGCTAGGTGGCTGCTGTGGGCATGGGGCCACGCTGCTGTGGGGGCTCCTGGATTAATTGAGCTCTTTGTGTTTTAATCTGAGCCTGGAGGGGAGTAAAAAGAGCTCAGAGTGAGGTTTGTGGAGCAGGAGAGGAGACCGATGGATAGATTGATACTTTATGGGGAAATCTGACTTGGACTTTACAAAACTGGAGATTTCCACACGACACCAGGAGATACAAATTTTAAAACCTATCAAACAACCGAAACAGGAGGTGCTCATAGTTGATTTGAGCTACACTGCAGTGTCACACAGCTGACACATTGTTAATATAACTGATCAAAAGAGCAAAATAGTTCTTAAACCAGTCCAGTTTGCACTTTTGAACTCAGTCCAGCAGTCCAGAACACCCAATCAACATAAGTACATGCCAGGTTATCGTGTTTTAAGGAAACTATATGGTTACTAAGATTTTTGTAGGGCTGCACTTGAGTAATTGAATAACCATGGGACTGTGGTCGTCAATGTGTGTGTCAAAAATAATCTCCTCTGCCTTTTATTACATTTAAAAAATTATTTCACTTTTCCTGCTTGATTTTAGCAAAAGCATACAGGCTTGGAGACCCTTGGAAACCACTGGTTGCTAGGGACAAATAAGGATTCCACAACTGGTTGGCAATTGATTGCCTACAGTTGTTAGGTCAAATTCTAGGAAATTCTCCTTGCAGTAGGTTGCTAGCGGTTTCATGGAAGACACCAACTCATCCGTAACCACTCACCAACTACTCGCAGAGCAGCAGTGAAACTTGAAAAGGTGCGATGCAAACCGGAAATGGAGAATGTTAAATAAATGGCCTGTATTTGTTTAGCGCTTTACTAGTCCGTAAGGACCCCTTTCAAAGTAAAAGTAAAGCACTATTTTTGCTCTGCAGGTCAAGTTTGTATTGCACTTTTCCAAGTTTCATTACAACTCTGTGAATGTTTGCAGACAAGTTGGCATCTTCCATAAAAAACTACAGGCAACCACAGCCATCTACAAGCAAAAAAAAGCAATCACAGGCAGGTCTTTGGTTCAGCACCCTGTTATTAACCATTTTCAAACCAACTAATACTCAACCATTGGTCAGGGGAATACACACATTTCTTCTTAGCGACTGGAGACTGCAAGGGGGTTGCCAACTGGTCTATAGGCCTGTGTGACTGAGAGCTTTGTCAAAAAGGTAAGTCTATATTTTTCCATTCAATTCAACTGAAGAAACTAAAATCATTTAAGTGAACTGAAGTGAACCTGACTCTGTGGCCTGCTGGGAGTGAATTTAGACCTCAGCGGAAGCCAAAATATGATTAACTGCACAGAACTGGATATGAGCGCATTCATCATTTTAACAGTATGTGCGACAGAAAAAAACAAAAACCAACACAGCCCCCCTTTAATTTCTAAAAGTATGAGCATATAATTCTACAGACTGACTACAGCAATGAAAGCAGGGCTTTTCTTTCTTATTTATACTGGTGCTTTTTCCTGTAACACTAACCCAGACTCTTAAGTATTGCAAAAGACCTGTTTATGTGGTTGTAAAGTACTATTCTGAGTCTAGTGAGCGTTGATGTGGCACTCGCTGGTGTTTTTAGCACAGCAATAAGTGGTTATTATGTGGTTGCTGTCATTCAAACACTCAGGGTTGGTCAAGAGAAAAATATGTCCCTAAAATCACTCTGAGGCCAAAGCCCAAAACAATGATCCAACTGCTGAGGGACATTCCTGCGTGCATATTCCTCCTAATTTAATGCACTCAGTAACGGCTGGTGAACCTCCGCCCTTTTTGTCCACAGTGCAGGGTTTATCTGCTCCAGCTGCCTGTGTTATGTCAGGCCTGTCCTCTTCCTGATGCTGTGTAGGAATAACATAGCACTTTGCAAATTCCCCAGATTCCCGATCGCAACTGCGCACGGAGAGAACACCAAGCAAAACACTACCTTCCTTTCACCCGCCGCGCTTGTCTCCACTGGCTAAAAAACAAGAGTGGATGTCACTGTTGTGACTGAGAGCGACTTGCTCGCTGATGCAGAGATGTTTGTGGAGCTGTGGAAACAGGTTGGCTTGTTTTTCCCCACCAGTGACTAATGTTTTCCTGCATACAGGCAGTGATTAACTTAGGGCTGTTTTTTTTTAAACACACAGAAAGATGGGCTTTGTGATGCTCACCATTTACCAGTAAATACACTGACCCTCACACCACAACCACATTCAGTGTCAGCTGCAATATGAGCCATTCAATTCTCATAAAACTGAGCTGGAGCAGAGAGATTAACTTTGGGAATAATTTGGTAAAAAAAGACAAGTCCCTCAAAGTATTTTTACAACTAAATTAAAATGATAACGTACTGAAAGACAGACAAAAGAGATCTTTAATAATGCAATAACACAAAAGTTAGGACTGGATAGTTAATTAAGTTGCCGGCTGGAGGGAGTTATTAGAGAGCGACACATCAAAAGGCCCAGAATGACAGTGAGGAGCTTAATAAGTTGAGTCATTTTGTTGTGGGGAGCAAACCACAACTGTGGGAGAAGTTAACTAATGCTTAAATCCAGCTAAAGGGAAACCTACTTAAAAAAAAGAAACATGGGCCAAAATAAACAAGCTGCAACCTCTGGCGGTGGAAAAATTGAGCCTGTAGTTGCTCCAAAAGCAAGTCAAATCTCATAAGACCCCCAAGTTTAAATTTCGTCCTTTATAACAACAGTGTGGAGGTGACTTTTGTTTTTAGCTGATCCGTCTGGTGAGTAAAAAGCATGGCTGCTTACATTGACAGGTGTGCCACAGGCAGCTGTACCTCACTGGTGTTATAATAGCTACAAATGTAGGTGTCTAGATTCTGCAAATGAGGTGTAGAACATACTATAAAAATTAGAAGAAATGTATGATAAATGTATTTTTGCTATTTAGTACAAATATGAGGAGGTGCACCTCAAAAGGCACAAAAAGCGACTGCTTTAGCGTATTCTCTATGTTTAAGAGATAAGACTCTTCACTGTTTCTAAGTCAGCAAAATATGAGAGAAGCTGTGGCGTTGTTTAAGTTAAACCCTTTGTGCAAAAGAGGATCTATCATTTAGTTGTTATAATGATATTGAAAAAGATTTCACGTTATTCTCAGATGGATTTTTTTTTTTTAGCATTTTCATCATATCTGATTTAAAAATCCCCCTAAATAGTTTGTTATGTCTTTTTTTTTTTTTTTATCTCAACCAAAGAGCTTCTTTGAGTTGATACAAGGAAGATGCATCAATTAATCCAAGAAATAATCCACAATGTATTAAAAAAAATTGTTACAGTGTTTACATAGGGAAACAAATCAGTCTGTGGAGTTTTATTTTTAAACATTTAAACAATTTACTGATATCAGTCTCCAAATACTCCAGCCTTTCGAGTTTGTGATCCTTACAAGAAATCAAACCCAGATTGTGGCCTTTCATCCCAGGTTCCAAGCTGTTCAGTTTTTATAGCACCAAAGACAGTTTCCAGTATTTTACAATGAAAAGCAGGACTGTAACTATATCTTACTGTACCTGAGATCTCTCTCCCTGTTCTTGACCCTGGAGTCACTTTGTGGGCCCTCAGGATGTAAACTACTGGTCTAGACTGGTGTTTGTCCTCTAATCTCTGAACCTTACACAAGCATCGTCTTTTCCAAATGTAAAAAAAAGAAAAAAAAAAGTCATTTTGTTTTCTTGGCAAACTCTTTCCTGCCTCCGCCTTCACTGCCGAAGTTGCGGACGCGGTGAATCTTGGCCAGCTGGCTCTCTATGGTCTTCATTATGTCCATATGGTCGGGGATGTGGACATAGCGGATGTTCCTGCCAGTGATGAATAGGTCCTGCAGCTGTGTGAGCTGACCCCGCCGGTCCCGGTACAACACGTCCTCTAGGCGTATGTTCATGAAGGCATCTACGTTGACCACGCGTCCACGTGCTGTGCTCTCGTTCCTCAGGTCCACCGTGGTCACCTCTCCCTGAAGGCCCTGCAGGAGGATCACCATGCTGTTTTCTGTGATCGTTCGCTCCCGAATAGAGTTCACCACCTCAACCGGCCCCACGCCGGATGGTTGAGACTCAGCTCCCTTGGGCTCCATAGTAACCTGCAGAAAAGCAGAAGATTGATAACTCTGGATTAGAGTCTGTGATGCAGTGTTGGTACCTGAGACGTGTTTCTGTGGTTTACTGATTCTGACCTTGAAGCAATAAAGCAAAAATTAGCAAAACCTTGCACACTTTGTGGACAGAACATTAGAATCAGAAAATGAGAAAACACAGGAACATGTCAAATAGAAAATGTCCTGCACAGCTTAAATGCGATTTATCTCATCTGTCACAAACCAAACCTGCATTTAATAAACGTCAGACGACTAAGAGGCTGTGGTCAAATCGTTAAAAAAGATTTCCCTCCCTCCATCTTTTCTTAATCACTTTTCTGATTGAAAATAAGGTAAAGGAAGAAGAATTTCTGAGGACTTAGGAAAAGAGCACCATGCCCAGACAATGTGACTGCATCGACGTTAGATCCTCTGGGGCTGTTAATGGGGCTCTACTGAAACTGCAATGTAGGGACCACAAAAAGGCTGTCTTAGATACTTTCTTACTGCGTTTTTTTTAATGGAGCTCACAAAAAACACACATAAAAAGAATGAAGTGAATTAAATGTTTCCAGTCTTATTTTCTTTATCTGCTGGAGAGATGATCCAATGTAACTCTGGAAACTGTTACAAGTTCTGAGGAAAAAACTAAATAATTTTATTCCACTGTAACTTATTAAAAATCGGGGGATCAATACCAGCTGACCTGACGTAAAGTCAATTAATGGTAATCCTAATTGCCAAAACAACTACTTCTTCTCCTCCTTTTTTCAGCAGCTCACTGAAGGTTGCTAATCCGCCTTCATCTCATCCTAACCCTAATGTCCTCTGTCACCACCAACCATCTGCATGTCCTCTTTCACTACATGGATCCTTTGAGGTCTTCCACTTATCCTTCTGCCTGGCAGCTCCATATTCAGCATCCTTTCTGCACATATCCAAACCACGCCAGCCTCCTCCTGCCTCACTGTCACATCAGCTTCTCATTCAGACACACGTAGTCTGTTTTGCTTCTCGTGACTATCATACCCCGTTACCGCATTTTCTTTATTAGTCCAAAAACACTTTCATGTTTGGCTTTCAAATTAACCCCAGTATATGCATATTACAGCCGAATATAAATGGTAACACAGAAGATATAGTGTCATATACTGCAGTGTAATCTTAGCTTTAACTAAACCTACAGAAAACATAAAAACACGTTTAAAATGACACTCAAATTTGTATCTGAAAGCACAAAGTTAGTCTTCTCTGTTAGCTTTTCTTTTTTTAGCGTTTCATTAGCTTTAGCAGCGACTAAATAAAGCTCCAAAATGCGTAAAACATGCGTGTAAATCAAAGCTTCTCCCTCCGCTGACGTCTGTAACATTTACCTGAATCGTTTAAACACAGGTTTCATGTAGAAACGAAACACCGGCCTGCTGAAACCTCTCAAAACATCTCAACACGTTCGTTTTCCCGCAGAAACCCGACGGAGGAGCAGCGACGTGATGACGTTTCACCGTCGTCTTTGCGTCAACCGTTTTAAAAAAAATAACTTTATTCACAACCACCTTTAATACAATACAATCCAGGACATAAATGAGGAACCCGAGAACAGGATGTCATCACAGCAACATTATTTTTCACATATATGCAGGATTTCAAAGCTGCAAAGTTTATATTAAGATTAATAAATTTGCTGGAGTGTAAAATTTTATTAATTAAGCGAAAATTCTACTGACAGATTTAGAACATCATAAAAATAAAATAAAATATAAAACCACACAAAAGAAATACATTAAAAAATGTTAATCTTATATGTGTTTAAATTGGTGTTTTTGTTTGTTTTGTTTTTGGATAAATTCAAGTTATACATAAAATCTTCTAAACTACTTAAAGGAAATAAACCAGAAAAATCATACAATATTCTAAACTGTTTTGCCCACCTTTGCCATTATATGACTCTTTTATTTAATAGTACACCTTGTTGAAAGGATGATGCTAAATGATCTTATGCCTACATGAACGATACTCACTGCTCTGTTCCCTTCTGCACCTTATTGGATTCATACAGTACTAGTTGTCATATTTAAAATATAAGTATTAAAAATAAATAATTAAATAAATAAAAAGCCGGATAAACAAAGAGCAAAGGCTCCGAATCAAAGAAACCTTCATGAGATTGTTCTTTTCTTACAAAGCCAAGACAACAGCACCCCCTACAGGTTGCTGCTGCAGAAACGAAATCGTCTCAATGAACATTTATTTTTATTATCCAAATATTAATTTATAGGTTATTTAAATCAGTACGTGTCCAATTAGATGTCGTATTTAAAAATTTGATCAATCCTTTTCATTTAATTTCTTCCCTGCCTCACAGCAACATTTGCAACTCATTTTGTTTTACAGCATGTAAACACGAGCCAGCCTAATCATGTCAATATAAGAAAATACTTTTATTTAACATTAAATTGTTAAAAGAAAATGAAACCTCCAACATAGCAGGTGTTACAGTTTAACATCCAAGTCAGTTCAGCTGCAATTTAAACATAGAAAATAGTTTCTGTCTATTGTATCTGTGTTATAATGTTGAGTTCTTGCATCTATTTCACTGAATACCGCATATTTCAGATTAAAGTTCACAGTGGAGATTAACCATACGATCATCAAACAACCACAGACTGAATAAATGAGTCAGAGGTCGTCCATCATGGCCAGGAGCTCTTCTCCCTTGTTGTTGCTGGGGTTTTCGGGTTTCTCTTCTTCTTCTTCTTTTTTTTCTTCTTCTTCTTCTGCAAACTGTCCGGCAATGCGAGCCAACTCCGATGCCGCCTGCTCATCCTGAACAAAAACTTGGATTAAGTTCATCACAGATGTTTTAAGAGAGACATGGCAGTCATAACAACAGTCCAGAGTGTAGCCAGACACTCACACTAACACACTTTTTTTGCCAGATTTTCCGTTTATATTGTTAGGTTTGTTCACGTGCTCAGCAGTTGCCTTTTTTTTTTTTAAGTCAAACTAAACTGTTTTCTTGACTGTGGTTTAGTTTTAGTTCACTGAAATACCCCAGAACAGTCTGCATGATCGTACCTGCATTGCTTGAATATTTATCACTCCATGCAAGGACTCCTCAGCACTACCTGACGCTCCTCTGTGAAACAAGATAAAAAGGCCTTGATGAGGAAATTTCTGTTAATGTAACAACAGGGAATGAAAATAGAAAAGAAGAACACCCACGCTTCCTCCTCCTCTTTGTCTGTGTTAAACAGGTTGATTCGAAAACCCGATTCGTCTTTGGGCTCGTTCTCCGTCTTCATGCTGCCCATCAGACGAGCCAGCAGGTTCAGCTCCTCCTTCGCCAGCGGGTTGGGAGAGCCGTCTGTCTGCAGCACAATGGAGGTGCAGAGGCAAGTTATAACAGAGCTGTGAAAATAATATTTGCCCCTTTTCTGATCTTTTTTATATTTCTTATACTTATGTTTCAGGTCATCAAACAAATTTTAATAATAGAGAAGGAGAACCAGACTAAATACAAGATGCAGTTTTTAAATTATATAATTTATTAATGGAAAAAAGTTCTCCAATGCTACCTGGCCCTCTGAAAACTCCCCCTAAACCCAACAACTGGTTGCAACGCTATTGGCAGCAAGAACTACAATCAAGCGTTTGATTGAAAATGAGTCTTTCACATCCCTGTGGAGGAATTTTGGCCCAATCTTCCTTACAGAGATGTTTTTAATTCAGCCAAACTGTTTTTGTTTTTTTTTAAAGAAAGAACAGCCTGTTTAAGGTTCAGGGCAAGAAATGATAGCTGGAGATTCTCCTTCAGGTTTTTTTTTTTAGTAGCAATCAGAATTCATGGTTCCACCAGTTTTGGCAAATCGTCCAGCAAAGCTGTGTCAGACCATCACGCTGCCACCACCATGTCTGACTGTTGGCATCATGTTCCTTTTAATAAAATGCTGTTAGTTTTACACCAGATGTAATGGCATGCAAAGCTTTAAAAAATTCCAGCTTCTTTCTCATTATCAAGATGTTTTTGGCAAATGTGAGATGAGCCTGCGTATTCTTTTTGGTCAGTGGTGTTTTTCTCTCATGGATGCCAGGTTGGTCCACTCTGAAACAAGTGGGCCCTGCAGTTCTCTAGATGTTGTTCTGGAGTCTTTTGCAACTAATGCGCTCCTGGGAAGGTTCACAACTGTTCCAAGTTTTCTCTATTTGTGGATAATGGTTCAGGAAAGGGAGGGGTGCAGTTGCAGCACAAGAGTTACTGCAAGTTTTCAAACATTATTAATGTGTGACAAAGTGGAGGAGCAGTTGTAATGCTCTCCATTTGTCCCATATGTGTTTACCCTTTTTTTGCACATTGTACACATTATTCTGTTTTTATGTATTTGCTATAATTTGCTATTTGTTAAGTAACATTGCTTCACTCACTATCCCGGGTTTGTTTGTGTAAGCGTTCTGTTGCCGGAAAATCAAATATTCTGCAAATTAAGACAAATACTAAGTTATGTTTCTTTATATTTTATTAAGTCATTTGTTCATACTTACTTTGTTTGGCTTTTCAGTCATCTTAGGGTCAGGTGTGGGGAAATGCCCACCTGGCATTTCCTCATTTTAAAGTCTTGATGATGTCACACATGACATCAGCAGATCAAACCAAGTGGAGGGGTTTCTTTTTCCATAGAGATGCTTCCTTTTGTTTGTGTTAAGGTTTAAAGGGATTTTTTGAATGTTTTTCCTTTCGTTAATACTGCCATTTAGTTGTGTAAATGTGCATATTAGAAGTGTGTAGAGGTTTTGTGTCTGGGTAGAGTTTTAGATCCCTCAGTTTGAGTGAGTGGTACTGGCTGGGCAATTGGAGGGAAATTGATGGCCCTATTTAAAGCCAGTCTCTACCAGATGCAGGAGAGGGGAGAGGTGAGCTGTGTCACCAGATCCATGGGTTGGTGATAGAGTTTATTTGGGGAGGAAGTTTTGTTAAGTTACATTAAATTAAGTTCACTGTAAATAAATTGCTCACCTTGGAAACCTGAAATGTCTGCATAGTCTGCTTCCCTACCACCTTCCTTGACGTTCGAGTCTGACTACTTCCCATAATATTAATATTGACTAATTAAACATTACACTGTCTAACCAGCCGTTTAATGTTAATATGGTGATAATGTAAACAGACACAAACATTCAGTTACTGAGAAACACTATTATTATTCTTTTTGACACTTCATTAATCGGATTATCATCTTCTCTTTGTACAGCAGTAGCACTGGGGTGTGGTTTTCTGGCTCAGCTGTAGAAGCCAGGAAACCACAGTAGTGTGGTTTGGGCACACCTGTCTTACACACCCTATTAAGCTCTTCTCTTATAGAAGGTGTGAGACACACAATGATGAGCCTACAGCAGTGAGATGTTTTGAACAGCGGGGCAAGTGAGGTGAGTTTAAGTGTATATGCAAAAAGTGTGTCAATAAAGAACTGCGTGTGCAAACCACAGGGAACGGGCCACTGCCATAACAGCATTTACCGGCTTTTACTATGCATCAATGTCCAGGCAAGCAGGAATTTCTGGGGCTAATATACGAAGCCAACACAGAAGTACAAAACAAACTAAAGTTCCTTGAGTGGCCACTTGAGGCAAGCTGCAAAAATGAGTGAATCCCCGCAGACCTCCATTAAAAAATATCCAAATTTACAGCATTTGGAGGCACATGGACAGTTTCCCACTCTATAACAAATGTATGTTGGGTTCCTTATATAAAAATATGTTAATATATCAAGCATATGTCTGTTTTTTTGGGTTTATTGCTGCAGATAGATAACCTTAGCTAACTCAGTGCCCTACCATCTGATTCAAAAATGGTCACTTCTGGCTCCAAAACAATTAGGAAGCATCAGGTTAGTGGAATGTGTGTGAAAGTGGTGCAACCGCGTAGTGGATATTTTTCTCAGCACACTTTCAGCCCCTTGGTGCCACCTGAGCATCCTTTAAACACCGCTATCAAAGGTAAATATCACCTTGTAGGAAAAAAGCTCCATATGATATGATTTGCTATTATTGCTTAAACATCATTTCACGGTTTCACAACAGCAAGAGCTCAGGTGTAGTTCAGGAAAATATTACGTTTTATATATATATATATATATATATATATATCACCAACCATAACTGTAAAATAAAATCTGTGACCTCCCTGACATGTTATTACCTTTACAGAGGGAGCCCTGGATGTGTGTGTCTCCTCTGGATGATCCACAGTGTACCTTTAAGTCATGAAACGCAGCAGTGTCACCCACAGGTTCGTCAGTGTGTGTGTTCACCATGTAGTGTCCAGCAGCATATTTACATACATGTTCATGCCCAGTCTGATCACTCTGTTTCCATGCAGCTCGAAAGACCCCTCTCTGATGGAGCTGGTGTAACTCCCTCCAGAGGGGAACTCCCTTCGTCTCACTTCTCTGCCGCGACAGTCAAATATCCTTTGAAAACAGGAAACAGATGGCGACACTCTGGATTGTGGACACATTTTTTTTTAAAGAAAATTGAAAGTTGGGATAGGTCAGCCTTTTGGCGGTGACTTCAGAGTTGCATCAGACCACCAGGCCACCGAGTGGCCACATCTAGTGCCGTTAATGAAGTGGCAGATGTTAAACCAGGTTCAGTGTATAAACATTGACGGTAGAAATTAATTCTGCTTATAATGTCTAAACTTGAATTAGAAGCAAATATGTGATAAAGACACTGAGAATCTGACAAACAATGGCAGACTCATTAATGACAGACATTAATAAAGTGCATGTGTATTAGTTTGCATGAATGATGCTTACAGCACATGCTTTTAATCAGCACTTGTGTAAAAATATCACATAGAAGTAAAGGGATACGTGGTAAAGTGGCAGGAGGTGCTTTTCTGATTCAACAAAGACAAACAAAGGTTAAATTTTGGTATTTTTTGTGATTATTTTTCATTGTAAACAAAATAATCCAAAGAAATTAGTGAAAGACTGATGAAATGACTGCTTTGAAGTCTTTTGATATGGTCACTTTGGCACACTTAAGACACATATGGGCCAAAGCACAGATCTGATACCGTTGTGGATGTTGTGGATATATTTGAAACAGGCAGTACGTGCAAAAATCCCCCCAGAAATCTTACAACTGAAGAAGTTTTGCATGTATACAAAATGTATTTCTGCTTAAAGGGGGCACGTCTGAGCGCTTACTATCAGGGGAAGGATAAATGCGCTGGCGCTGCTGCATAGCTACATTACATTGACAGTGACAGATGTGACTGAGGACATATTTTTGATTTACATTTATGGATTCCTTGAAATTCATTTCAAAACTATATGTAAACCATCTGCACACACTGTAACCTACATACCTAATAAGCCCAGGAACATCAGTCCCATGAGGCACTGGGCCTGATGTCGTCAGGGCGAACCGTCCATTGGGATTTTGGATCTGATCTTTTAGGAAAAGTGATACCTTAAAAAAAGAGAGAGAGCATTAATTGAAATCACTAGCAGAAAAATGAAATGTTTAATTTGATTGTAATATGTTTGAGGAGGATGGGATTTCAAGCAGGGGACTCACACGAACGTGCATGTCTTGGAAAAATGTGAGGAGAGTCTGTCTGAGAAGCTGGAGTTCACCCTCCGTGAATGACGAGTATGTCTACATCAAAGAGAGACGATGGGTGCAGAGGATGCTTGCACCTTATAAATACAAGGTTTATATAACTTCAGTTATCTGAGTCATACCTCAATGATTTTCCTGTGTGTCTCATCCACTTGGTTCACGGCCATGGGAGTGTCTTTCACGAATTCCCTGATGGTGTCCATGTGATTGTATGAGATGAGCAGCAGGTCTTTTGGCCGCAGACAAAGGAAGACTTGATATTTGAAAGCCATGACCATTAGCTCATAAAGCTACAAGAAAAAAAACACAAATCTACACCTTAAAAAATTAACAGAGTTGTAAAATATTTACATTTTTTGTCATGTTATGTATTAATAAGATACCAGAACAATCTGACAATCAATTATCAATCAATATCTGAGAGAAAACGATTTGCAACTTTCCGTGAGGTTAATGCACTTCGATCTGCTTCACATGACTAATATGACAGAGAAAGATGCAATTAAAACAATAACATTAAAAGCTAATAATAATAACAAAGAAAAGAAAAGCTAATAATAATGATAACAAAGAAATAATAAGAAATCAACAAAGTAAAAAGTAAAAAATCATCTGACCCTCAATAAAAATTAAAAACTATTAGAAACAAATAAAACAATTATAAAATATATGTTGAGTTACAGTCCTGTGAGAAACTAACTACAACCCACGATTCATTTGCTCGTTGAACTTCCTTTAGTAGTAATAAGTAGTAACTGCTTGACTTCATCAGTCTCTCACATCGTTGTGGAGAAGTTTCAGCCCACTCTACTTTACAGTGTTGCTTCAGCTCAGTAAGGATTGTGGGAATTTGCTTGTGCACAGCAGTTCAGTCACCTGAGATTTAGACTTTGACTGGATCACTGCAACATTTTGATTCTTTTCTTTTGCAGATTTGTTGCTGTTCTTGGAATCATCGTTCTGTTTTATAACCAAATTTCAGCCAAGCTTTAGCTAATGGACAGATAGCTTCACATTTTACTCTTGAATACTTTGGTATACACAGAAGTTTGTGTTTGACTCAATGACTGCAAGCTGTCCAGGTCAAGCCCAAACGATTACCCGTCCACCACCGTGCTTAACAGTTGATGTCAGGTGTTTTGCTGGTATGCTGCGTTTGGCTTTCCCCAAATGTGGTGCTGTGGATTTTACCGAAACGTCTCCACTTTGACCTCATTCGTACACAGGACACTTTCCAAAAGCCTTGTGGTTTATTCAGATACAACTTTGCAAACCTGTGCTGTGCTGCCATGAATGATTTATAGAGAAGACGCTTTGTTTTGGCAACTCTTCTAAACAAACCACTTGTTCAGTCTTTTTCTAGTTGTGCTGTCATGAACTTTAAAATTTAACATGCCAATTGTTGCCTGTAAAGTCTGAGATGTAGCTCCTGGGTTTTCTGCACAGTCTGACTTCTGAGTGAATTTTCTAGGACATCTCATCCTGAGAAGATTGTGGCATTGTGTTAACACACACCTGAATGGTCCTGACCTGCAAAATGTTGTTTTCCAAATGCATTTTGTTAGATTTGACAAGTGGACATACTTGCTCACATTAAGTTTATGAAATGCATTTGATTAGCGGCACCTGGCTGCTACATGGAAGCAGGAAGGTTTTACGGGACTGCTTTTTTTCCCACTTGACTATAAGTCCCTAATGACTCGGGATGTGTATAAAATCATTGATCCATTAAGTGAAGTAAATTTTATGGGTGCAGGTTTGACAGTCCTGCATTATAGGGAGAGGTAATGAGTAAACTGTGGAAGCTTATTTCCGAACTTCAAGGACTGAGTCATAGGTTTGAGATCAATGAATCAACTCTGTTTTTCCTGGCATTTTTTTCCAGTAAAGGGAAAAACTTTCATTGTGAACAAGGGGAAGATTTTTACTTTAAAAAGTTTCTCAGTTCACTTGCTGTTTATAATCTAGTGCTCCTGTTCCTGGTATTTGGTATTTACCCTGTCCATGCTGGCCGGGTTCAGTCTCATGATGGAGGCGTGCGCTAACCGAGTTAGCACCGTTTTCATTGTCCTGTGAGAATACAGCTGCTGAGGTTTGAGAAGTTCATCCATGAAGGCTTTACTGAACATGGTCCCAACGATGTCATTCATGACTGTGAAATGGAAAAGCAGCCAAACAGAAAGGTGGAGAATTTTGCTTTTGAATTGAAGCTACTTCTTTCTTAGTGCAGTAGATAAACACAGAGGTCATGAAAAACGAAAAAATGGTAAAAATAAAAATAAAAATGGTTGTTTACCATTGTTTTATGCATTTTTTTCATTTATACAACTCCAAATATATATGGAAGACAGTCTAAATAAACTCACTGGCCACTTTGTTAAGTACACCTATTCAAATGAAGCTTAAGTATAAGTTAAGGAAAATCTGTATTAATTCATCTGCCTGAATTCCTGGGTGTTTGGGGTGATTGTCTATTCTTTACATCACTTCCTCTTACCCAAGCTGTCAAACTGGTGACATCATTGCTCTAGTCCAATCATTTTCTTGTCCACCTTCTGTGAGCAAATAGCCTCATATGTGTTTTAACTCTGAGTGCTCTTTTTTCAGACTCTCATTCATGAATGGCAAATGGCCAGTATTTTGTATAGCACTTTACTTAGTCCCTAAGGACCCCAAAGCGCTTTACACTACATTCAGTCATTCACCCATTCACACACTGGTGATGGCAAGCTACATTGTAGCCACAGCTGCCCTGGGGCGCACTGACATAGGCGAGGCTGCCGGACACTGGTGCCACTAGGCCCTCTGCCCACTACCAGTAGGCAACGGGTGAAGTATCTTGCCCAAGGACACAACAACCGAGACTGACTTAGCTGGGGCTTGTACCGGCAACCTTCCGATGACAAGACGAACTGCCAACTCTTGAGCCACGATCGCCCCTTATGCGCATAGATCCATCCTTGTGTCTAAGGTTCAGGCTGCTGGTGGTGTAATGGCACAATTACACGGAGGATATGTTCTTTCCTTATGACCACAGTATACCCATCTCTTTTTATGGCTGCTTCCAGTTTTGTGCCATGTCTCAAAGCTAAAATCATGCCATACTTCACTTACTCAAATAGCCTCCACAGTCACCAGATCTCAATCAGATAGGGCACCTTTGGGATGTGGTGCAATGGCAGATTCATATCGTGGATGCACAGCTGACAACTCTACAGCTACTGTGTGATGCTATCATGTCAATATGGATGAGAATCTCTGAGGAATGTTTCCAGCACTTTGCTGAACCTGTGCCACAAAGAATTAACACAGTTCTGAAGACCAGAGGGCAAACGTGTACCAAATAAAGTGGCTGGTGCACTGTATATACAAATTTATGGTAGGTGTCTAGCTACTTGTCTAGCTCTGTGTGACAATTTCACATGTGTTTTCAAGAAAATATATATTTTCTGACTTGTTAAGAGAGCTCAGAGATGCTGGAGGAGCTGATTAAAGAACATTACGCTCAAGTAATACCTCTTTTCCTGTCATTTTCTGACCACACTCCTGCAGCCATGTTGGGTTTCCAACAAAAGAAGAAAGAAAAAGAAGGAAAGCAGATTTGTAATTTGGGTAGTTATGCATCTGACATAAGAAAAGCACTTTTTTTTTAGTTTATAAATTGGCATCAGACTGCTACAGCTTGACACAAACTGGGAAGACACATCTACAAAGATGTCAGCAGCCTCTACCTTTCTCTGAATTGTCCTCTGAGGTGTTGTGAGCTCGCAAGCGTTGGTCCAGAATGTAAAGCATCTCTCCACCCAGATTAATGAAAACCAGGGGGAGAGTTCTCATAGACATCTTGCAAAGTCAAAAGAAAAGGAGGATTAGCTCCTTAGCACAAAGCTGTTGCAGAGGTAGGCGTCACTAGGAGAAAAATCCTTTGCAGCTGAAAACCACTCTTCTCATTTCCACCCAGTTAACTGATTGTTCCTCTTGTGGATTGCCACTGTTAAGTGAATTGTTCATGCTAGGTCTTATCTGATCATTCTTCTGCTCACTAAGATGTAACAGGTGGCCAACAAGAGGATAAGGAGTGTACAGACAGGAGCTTATTGGACAGGATAAGGATGACGTTACAGCACATTACAACCAAACACAGAAGGTAAATGGGTATGCCATGTGCAAGATTAAACAAACTAACTAACTAACCCTTTATAAGCAGGTTACATTTAAAGGGTTATTCAGTGAATCAAAGTCCAAAAGTGCTAAAAGAACATATGTGAATGTGTAATTGTTAAATTTTATTCTGCACTCTTCTGTGGAGACTTTCCACCAGATCTTTTAACCTTCCAGCTTGTATTTGCTCCCATTCAACCAAGAGAATAAGTGCGGTTGGCAACTAATGTTGAGAGATGAGGCCTCCCTTCATTGCAAAGCTCTCAAAACCTCATGTAGACAGGTCTCCCCCAGCACCAAACATGGAAACAAAACCTGTTTTTATAAACAGCAATGATAAAGCTTTACCAATCTTTAATGGTATCTTTTTACCTCATCATTTAGTTGTGTAGCATAGTCAGCTTAGCATGATAACTAGCCTTAGCTAGCTTAGCGTATTTGATCTGGGACATCTTGTACATTCCTTGTACAAAAATCTAGATCCACCCCTTATTTCTTTATATTTTACTTCAAGTGAATCACAGTTTCTTGTAATTTTTTGAAGAAGTCTTTAGAAATAGTTCTCCTGACTTTCTGAAGCTTTTCTTTTGGACATTGGCTGTTTTTTTCACTCATTTTTATACCCATGGTGCATTTATGTGTATCTGCACTGACCACAAGCTGAAGTGGAAGATCAACAAATAGGTTGTGTACAAAAAGGAGATGAGCAGACTCTATTTCCACCATATTCTGAGTTTTATTCACATTCTGAGGCAGATGATTCATCCACAAAAGTATCGTGCTCTATACTCCTCCTGCTGCTCACCACTAATAAAAGAGTAACACAAGAATTTCTCTCCTTCCCTCTCCTACACTACTCTAAATAAAAGATAAGAGAGCAGAAACATGCAAATCAAAGTTTATCTTCATGTTCACTTTTCCAGCAGCTCACTTAAGTGCACACCATTGTCTATTGTTACAGTCATGTCTGCAGCTAACATCCTTTTAAGTTTTTGTGAATTATTTTCCTGCTGAAACAATAATTGAAAGACATTTTGGAAAGAAATTTGGAACTCAACTGACAAGCGTAAAAACGTATTATGGAGTTCTATCATTTCCTCTGTTTTTTCTCTATGTAAGTAAAACATCAAATTATAAATTGTGCTGTGTTTTTAGTAGTTTATACTAGTGTTACTTTTAAGACTAATTTGTTGTGATTGCGAAAACATATTTAAATAGAAAATATTGCTAATATGCCTTAGTTTGGGGGGGGGGTCTGAATGAAAAAGAATTAATAGAGTAAAAATGTCTTTCTCTCATCAGAATAACCTGCTCAAGTTCACAGTCAGTTTTCAATGAAAACCCAGTCCTGAGTCCAAGCTCTTATAACCAGGAGTGGATGGAGTCTATACCTGAAGAGACCCCACTATCTGCTATCGCTATCCCTGGAACACATGAAAGCTTAACATTATACAACGGACTATTTGCAAGTTATGTGCAAAGTCAAGTTTGGAATTTGAAAGACCAACTTAATGTAGGAGTACGATATTTTGACTTGCATTCTAGAAATTGGATTCCTAAAAAAAGCATTTCTGTTGGGGATAGTCACTGGTTGATTGGGAAAGAAATTCCCTTACGTGAAGTTCTTAGAGATATTCTTGATTTTTTAGAAAACCACAGTAGTGAGACTGTGATTCTAAAAGTGACATTCCATAAGTTATTATTTCATAATAACAAGGATGCTGAAGACTTGATGAAGACAATAATTGACAAGTTCCGAAGTAAAATATGGACAAATACACTAGCACCAAAAATGAAGGATGCAAGGGGTAAGATTGTTTTTCTCAAGACTGATGTGTTTCGAGCTGGAACAGAAAGCCGTGACTCACTTTTCTTTGAACATAAAAGGCTCACAGATGTGGAAAAAAAAATAAAGAATATGAAGTCAAACCTCTGTGAACGTCACATTATGGTGACTGGCGCGTCAGCATCAATTACTGAGAAACCAATAAAACTGGCTCAAAAAGTTAACGAACAGATTTACAACTTTCTGAAGCAACACAGACCCAGTTCAGAAAATTATGGTTGCTTAGGTGTCATAAGTATGGACTTCCCCAGTGCTGAAGTTATTAAAAAAATCACTGAGCTCACACCATGTAAATGTGGACACGGAGATGGAACAGGAAAGAAGGGACCCGCACCTGTACCAAACACTAAACTGACAACATCACCTGTAGCCACAACTTCACCTGAACCAACAACTAGAATAATAATCATACCCAGACCTTCACCCGAACCAACATCAGCAACTACAACTTCACCTGAACCCACAACTTCACCTGAACCCACAAC